TTTGGAATTTTACTGATGTATATTTCTATAAACTTTGTCAAACTTGCTGTTGTTGTGTCTTAAAAAAGAAATAAATGTAATGGAAATCTCAGTTTTCTTATCCTCTAAAATAGATAATAAATAATAGTTGCATTAATATATATATAGGACATATCCATGTTCTAGAGCATGCTCTGTGCGTGGCCGTTGTGAATTTTTATCGCATTGTATATTTTTAGTGAACACATTTCCAACCTGACTGCGAGACTGTTTTTCTCATATAAATTTTTACACATATGCATTTATATTATATGTATAATACTTTATTTTACGTACACGCATGGCTATTCATTTTTAAGATGTGAGATGTCTTTTTCGTTGTAATGCGCATTGAGCATCTTTTAGAAAATGGAAATGCGCAGTGTAAATGCTATTTATTATTATTATTATTATTTACAATTTTAATATCTTCTCAGTCAACAGAGTTGAACCTTTTTTCTCTTTACCCTTGCTATCGTTCTGCTGTCCGTTTTGTGGCCAAGATGCTTCTCCTTTAGTCTGACGGTGCCTGACAATTTTGTTCCCAGCTGGCTCTGTTTGCTAGAAGCATTGATGGCTAATAAAATACAAAATACATTCGTGAGTGTGAGTGTGCTGACAAATTGAGTCACTTCTCGCAATTTGTGAGTGTAGATATCGGCCGCAAATCGACGTGTGGATCAAATGTGTAGATTTTTCAACTTATGCCATTTTCTTCAATTTTAACATGTTTTTAATTATTTGCTACTAGTAAGCTGTAAAAAAAAATTCATTTTCTAATTTTGATGAATCTGTCTCCAAGACGTAACTCAAAAATCGTTCCTATCGTTCTGCAGTCCGTTTTGTGGTCAAGATGCTGCTCCTTTAGTCTGACAGTGCCTGACAATTTTGTTCCCAGCTGGGTCTGTTTGCTAGAAGCATTGATGGCAAATAACGTAGCGATATATTTGTCAGTACAAAATATATTTGTGAGCGTGCTGACAAATTAAGTCACTTCTCGCAATTTGTGAGTGTAGATATCGGCCGCAATTCGACATGTGGATCAAATGTGTAGAGATATCGGCCGCAAATCAACACGTGGATCGAATGTGTAGATTTTCAGCTGATGCCATTTTCTTCAATTTTAACATGTTTTAAATTATTTCCTACTGTCATCATCATCATCATCATCCGGTGCCTTGCCGACTGGCGTGGGCGATCATGGACCTCCACTTCACTCTGTCTTGCTTTGCAGCAATGGTGTCTGTTGTTCTTGCTGCTCCCAGCCTTGTTGTCATCTTGTCCGGTATCTTTTCCCTCTGTCTGCCTCTGCCTCTCTTTTCCTACTAGTAAGCGTGTTGATCTAGATCTAGATCTAGTCTGTAACAGACTGAGCTAAAAACTTCTGGCTTATGTTTTAAAAAAATCAAATTTTTGAATTTGCTTATTTTCTAGGAAGCAAAGAGAGAAGCGAGAGAAAGAGCGAGAGAGGCGAGTGAGGATGAGTCAGCAGGTGGAGGCAGC